CATTTGGGTTACGACTTCGTACGCTCGCACGATCACTCGCCGCGTGCGCGAACGACAGCCAGCTGGCGCACGCTGCCTCGAGAACGATGCAAGTTGAACTGCCGTGACGCTGACGGCTTAACAAGTTCACGTCTCTTTAGTACATGTATCAGTCACTGCACAACACGACGCGAAGTCACGCGAAAGTGATCCTGTCCCCAAAAGAGCTCAAGGATATATACAGTCGCCGACCGATTTTTCGGACCTGGCGGGGACCGAAAAAAAGTACGAAAAATCGAACAGTCCGAAAAATTCGTTTTTGCCAAAAATCTAAAGTTTATTGCATCAGGCAGGTTTAAAAAAGTCCTTGATGCTGCCTTGCCTCAAACTACGCTTGGAGGCAATTTGGTTTGCCCGTATTTGCGCAAAGGTGACATCGTCGCTGTAAACGCTCGACAAAATTGTCACCGCGTTGGCGATCTCCGACGGCTGCGGGCGGTCGTCGTTGTCATCCGACGACAACGACGACCGCCATCCGGCGTCGACCGTCATCCAGCGACATTTAGCTGCGAACGTCCACTCTCTATTAGCTTGATTATGGCAGCTTTCTTCTCCATCGTCAGGGTCGTATACTTCCCACGCTTCTTCACACCACCTGGCTCCCGCGATGGCACAGATAGCGGAGCCATGGCACCGAGAACACAAAATTCAATGCCGCAGATAGCCGCTGCGAAGCACACAACGTCTCGACGCTACGCGACACAACACGTGCAGAATGGCGACTGAAAAAAGCTGCAACGACAATAAAAGAATCCTTCTTTCGCCTCGTCCCCGTGCGATGTGATGACGATAGTGCTGACCGAAGACGAAAAAACGGCATCCATCACCGCGTCTTTTAAAAAGCAAACACGGCCTCCGAAACTTAAAATATGGCGTGCGCATTCCAATCTCGGAGGCAGGAAAGGCATCTGAAGACCAAGCTTAGCCAAGCCGACGAAAAATCCAACATGGCGGCGTTCACAATGGCTTGGGGCGTGGCACAAAACGAGCGATTTAGTCCGAAAAATCGAACTTTCAAGGGCAAATTCGCCCGAAAAATCGGTCGAAACAATGCATTAGCTCTATGGGATCCCTGACGGTGCATTTATGAAGTCCGGAATATCCAACAAGTCCGAATTTTCGGAGTCCGGAAAATCGGTCGGCGACTGTACCTGCACAGCTATCGCATATTATAGCTCCGTTCGATTCGCCTGCACCACGTGAACCAGTTCGTGGGGTGGTGCACTTTGCCATTCGTTTCAGTGGTGCAGCATCGACGACCTCTGAATCCTGTCATTCGTTTCAAAAGGTGCAGAAGAGGTGCAGCACTGGTTCATGATTTTCGTGCACCTCCTACGATGATGGTGCCGGCTTGGTGCAGCCGTGCATGCAACTGAGCAGACGACGCAGCACTTGGGCGTATGCGCCGTATCTGCCTCTACCAACGCTGTGTGTTTTGCCAAGATGTTTGCGCCTCATAAATTGTCCGCATGTGCGGTTCACCATCGTTCAGTGTTAGCTGAACGGTGTAAATTAAGCCAACAGAAATAAGGTCTGCACCTTATATGTCGCAAACACACGTTGACAAACTTACGTTTTTGTCTGAAGTTTATGATATGCGCAGGTATCGGTACCACGAGTGCGCGTCGTATATAAAATAAGCATTTGCATTACACGTTCTCGACACATTTTAGAACTTACCTTGGCTTGTTTTCAAGTCCTAAGTGGCATTAACGAATGTCTTGTATATCAGCTTTGATTTTACCTATTAGGTCATAGTGCATACAGCGCGGCGTTATTACGAAGAGGTGAAAAAAGACAAAGCCAACGATGAAATGGGCAACCAAAGGATGTACCGTAATTACTCAAATCTAACGCGCACCTTTTTTCCAGTTAAGCGAGTTCATAAGTCGCATGCGCGTTAGAATCGAGTACGAACAAAAAAATTACGGTCAATCTATTGCCATCGGCAAATCCAAAATGGCCGCCCCCTACGTGCGTCGGCATGGCGCGTCGGCCATTTCTGCCTATGTGTTTTCCATGTGTGGCACTTCGTACATGTGCTGAGGAGTTCGTCATCTAGTAGTGCATTAGCATCGACGGCGTGGAAGGGCCGACTCCAAAAACTCGAGTGCACCACGATGTCGCTTTTAAAAGAAAAGTCATCGCGTGTGCAGAAACGGACGAAAATCGGGCCGCATGGCGGTCGTTCGGAGTTCCCGAAACGTGCATGCAGGACCGGCGGAAACAAAAGCAGAAAATTGTCGACAGCAAAGCTTCATGCAAAGGCTTCAGTGGACCACAGCGAGGTCGGTTTCCGCAAATAATGAGCTGCTCGGCGAGTATGTGCTTGAGCAGCGAGCGGCACAGCGGCCCCTGACGACAGAACTGCTCCTAGTGCGGGCTATGCAATTAGTCTTAGAAAAAGGTCTAATGCGGAGCCAGTTTAAAGCGAGCAGGTGCTGGCTAACTAACTTTATGAAGAGGAAAGGCTTTTCCCTCCGAAGGGGAACATGCATATGCGAGAAGTTTTGCAGTGGAGTACGATGAAAAGCTTCACAGTTTTCAGAGGTTCGTCCTAAACTTGCGGCGCAACAATGGCTACCTGCTTAGGCAAATCGGGAATGCTGGTCAGACGCCTCTTTACTTCGACATGCCTGGCGCCACAAACGTCGAGAAGAAGGGGGCGAAGCAAGTTCGCGTGCTGACATCGGTCCACGGTAAAACTACAATGACGGCAATGCTCTGTTACACGTCAGATGGGCACAAGCTTCGCCCGTACCTCATATTTAAATACAAGACGCTCCCGAAAGGAGTCGTTTTTCCGAGTGGTGTGATCGTGCGGGCCAGCGAGAAAAATGGGTGCGCATTGCAATCGATGTATTACGTTTTTTTTTTTTTTTGCAGTGGAAATCGGGTGCGCGTTACAATCGAGGGCGCGGTAGAATCGAGTAAATACTGCATACATTTCTGAATCCATTCTCCGTTTTTTTTTTTTTTTTTCGCGCCGTATCGTATTATTTCATCCCACCCATGCTGGCTCATAGATAGAAATGGGTTCGCACGCCGTTCGCGACCAGCGAGCATCACCAACAGTCGCGATCTAGGGCTTTCTATCACCATTGAGGATCAATCCAGTAGTCAGGACAGAGGTTCTAACAGGGTGCGTACGAACGTGTAGTACGTACATAACATATATGTGCACGACGCAGTCAACAGGCAATAGTTCACCGTGTTGTTCACAGGAGGAAGCTACACGAGAAACAACAAAAGCGATGGACAGTAGCTTCAAACACTTGTCGCCACACGTAATCGCCTCATCCCACAAGGCAGACCAGGCTTTAGAAGATAACGCCACGTGTAATGACAAGCGAAGGCGAAGTCTTCAAGCGCCCACATTGCAATCCATCGAGTCCTCACAAAGATGGCACCGAGCTCGCATCGTACCTTTTCGGCGTCTGCTAGCCTGAAACCTGCCCAAAACCTTCCAGAAAGCTTCCATGACTAAAATGTCCTGAAAGCGTCTGGCGACCCTCGGGTCACCAGAACAGTCCAACCTGAGAAAAACGAACGCCAACCGGAAGTGCGCCGCGGGGGGGGGGGAGCAGCTTGAAAAAAATGAGCGCGCTCTGGCTTGCTCTGGCAGCCCGCGGGTAGCCAGAAGTAGAAAATCGAAGAGCCCCATAATGAGAAGCAGAAGTGTCACACCTCATGGAGAGCTTGACTCGTGATCATGTGTCACCAGCCACATAGGGTTTCTTTTAGGATTGAAGCTTCTTCACCACGTCCATCACAGGTGGCGAAACACAGGTGTTGTGCAGATCGTCTACAGAGTGTACATAGCACGCATATGGTTTAAAAATAGACCGTACTCTGTCCGTTCGTCCATCCGTTTGTGCATACGTCTATCTGTCCATATGACCATCCAACTGTTTGTTCATCTGTCCATGTGTCGGTTTGTTTGTCCATTTATGCGTGCGTTTGTTCATCCGTCTATTCACCCATCAAGTCGTGCATCCGTCCATCTGTTGGTCCTTTGCAGTAATCGGTGCCTTGAACCATTCACTTTGTGGGTTTGCAGCCATTTTCTTTCTACTTTTTCATCACATTGTGCATGCATGATCGTTTCGTTTTCATCTTTTCTATATGCCGTTGGTTTTGCTTTGTTTGTGACCAAAATTTTAGCAGGAAGTCAGCACCTGCTGTTTTTCTGCTTGTCCACATTTTATTTTTTGAATGAATGGAAACAACTTTGTTTATTCGTTCAAGATGGAAGCACACAAACTTGTCCAGTTCACCATTATGATGCCACACAGTGAATTCCACTGCATCTGTTTCACTGTCTGAGGATGTGCTAGCTGCAAGCCTCCAAAAAAGTCAGCTGCATAGTTTAAGAAAATGACGAATTTTCATGTCAATGTGCCATAGAACCATGACATCAACAATGCAAAACAAGCAGTGTTGAGTTTATTCCAGACTCCAAATATGTGGATATCCACAGCTGTTTTGTGAGTGACCATTTATCAAGTTGCCAAATTTTTACTTTGATATTGTCTCGGGCAAAATAATACAGACAGCCAGGAATCTTCCCCAGAAACAGACCAGCAACAACGCGTGCTGCATGCCACAATGGATAGCTGACGGCAAGTAGGATTATTCCCTCTCGCAGCAAAGCAGCAAGGTCTCAATGCTGGTTATGCATTAAACAATGGTACCCTAAAACAAAATGAATATGCTCGGTACATACGACCTCAGTTCATATTTAAATTCCAGTTTGAGCAGTTTTCTGTGGCACGTGCAGGATTTCGCAAAGTATCTAACAGACTGAAATAAAACATCTTACACCACGTGAAATAGCCAGGTGGCGGGCTTTTGGGGTTTCGCAAAGTGTCTTGGGCTCACATACATTTCAGTGCAGCTCACGACTTTATTCAGTGAAAGTGACACGGCCCATATGGTTCTATGCTAATGAATGGGCTCACCTTCCTCTGGGCTCCATCTTGAGTTGTACAGCTTGCCACCTATAGATGGTGGCCATTCTGAATACAGTCTAACTCCGCTACAATGAACGCCGCTTCAACGAAATTTCCGCTACAACGAAAAATTCATGATTCCCTGTCAACAGTCCATAGGAGTCGATGCATAAATATTGTCGCCACAACGAACACCTTTTCTTTGATTGCCTTGCTTCAACAAAATTTTACAATGCAATTTCAGGCTCAGATACTTATTGCTCTGCAGTAAACCTAATGTTTAACATTTAGATGCATTTTCAGAGTCTGAAAATGTGTCAACGAAGTCTAAAACACGCATTGGCACCATCAGAAACCGCTGCTATACTGTAGCTATTCAGCAAGCATGGCCACCCGCCGGCATTGCTCAATAGCGATGGCAATGAGAGTGCCCTATTTTTGTTTTGCCACTGGCTTGCTTTTGAGCCGCAGACAATCCGAAGCTGAAGCTCAGTCGCTCAGTTCATGGTTTCCTTCACGCAGCTGCTAGGTGCAAACGAGAGGGATGTTTTTTCCCGATTCCAATGCTTATCATTTTATTCGCGCTTCGCCAGTGTGCTACTTAAGGGGAGACGCGGGTCGAAAAGTCGCGTTTTTTTTCCAAATTTCACCTTTTCTGTTTTTTGTTGCTTTATCATCTTTATACATTATATTTTGACATCTGAAAATATCACAGCGAAATAAGCATCAGAAGTCAGTGAAAAACGCGTCTGAGTGAGCGGCAGTGACGCGCGGCATCACGAAATTTACACAAAACGGGCTGCTGTTCGCGTGCTCGCGGGGCCGCGAAGAGAGCTGTCCGCCATATTGCGGCCGCTGGCTCGTGTAGAGTTGTCCTTACTCTCCACGATCCCGGTTCTTGAAGTCTCGTACGTTCACGAAAAATCTAAAAAAAAAAGCAACGAAAACAGTCTTTTCCCGCCGTTTCAAACCGCGCGCCACTAACGCAGGGCCGCCATTGGCTGACAGCACCCGTGTTTTCTTGCCGTAGTTCGCTTCACTGTTTTCCGGAGTTATTTTTCGCTGTTTTCGTGCGATGGCAAGCCCGAAAAAGGCCGTTGCCGACCATCGGAAATAGCAGGATTTCAAGCTGGACGGTTGTGCCCTCGCGATCTCCGACTTCAGCGTAGCTCCCGCCGACTGGTTCGCCCTCCGCGGTCTCCTGATGCCGTGTAGCTCTCGCATTGTGGCACCCCGCCCTTGGACTGCTTCGACCGGATCCCCACTTTCCTATCTCCTTCTTTTTCCTCTCGTTGGCTGTCTTCTTCTGCTTCTACTTTCCTTCTATTCTTTTTATCCCTCCTTCCCCCCACCCCTATAAGGCACTGCGCCGTGTCGCCTGAAGGCAGACAGAAATTAGGTGCCTTTTTCCTCTTCATTGTAACCACTACCACCACCAAGTAAGAACAAGTTCAGAGGGAAGCGGCGGAGGACGTACAAGAAAGCCACCGCCAACGAAAATGTCCGCGACGGGCCAGCGGCCGGTAGGCCTAACATCGACCACGGCAACGTCGACCATGGCAACTGCGACGACGAGATCAACGCTGCAGTGAATTTTGTGAGTGCATCGCAGAAAAAGATCGCGTTATTCGAAAACGACGTCAGGCCGAATGCCGATCGTGCCGAAAGCGTAGTGCTGTGCGAGTTGGGTGCATTGACGGCCGTCGTCGCAGGCGCGGCATGCCCCGTTTGTCACGAGAGTAAACTCGCAGTTCGGGCACCGAATAAAAAGCGGAAAGGCCTTTCGGCGTTTCTGGAGCTACACTGCGAGAATGCGGAGTGCTCGGAGAGCATCCTTTCGTCCGCGTACTCGTCGAAGCGGGTCGCGTCAGATGGCGGCCGCGGTGCAAGCAGAAGCTACGACAGCGGGAGTTCGCGTGACGCCTTTGCCGTGAACCTGAAAGTGGTGCTTGCAGCGCGTGCCGTCGGTATCGGGCATGAGCAACTTTCACGATTTTGTGCAGTAGTTGGATTGCCAAACCCTATGCACCATAAGACCTTCCATGCTATCGGCAAAAAGATTCACAGTGCGGCAGTGAAGGCTGTCTGTGAAAACATGCAAAGGGCACGCAGCGTCACCAAAGAGGTGGCTGGTAACAGTGACGTGCCAGTCATGTTTGACGGCACATGGCAAAAAAGAGGCCACAAAAGCCACAATGGTGTGGGAACTGTAGTGTCCTTGGACACTGGTTTGTGCCTGGACTATGAAGTGCTTTCCAACTTCTGCCTGGCGTGCAGTTTGCATAACGACATGGGAGGCGATGAAGAAACATGGCAGGCGTTTCATCATCCCGTTTGTGAGAAGAATTGCACGAGTCTGGGCCTGCAGGCCCAGACTCGTGGTGCAAGCACCGACGTGCTGAGGCGCAGGGCCAGCCTGCACCGTGCCACACCCCCCTCCTGACCAAGGCCCAGGGTTTGGCAGTCCTCCCAATCTACAAGCGTCTCACAGATGCGAAGCTGCTTGCCCGGTGCCTCCACGGCAAGACACAGAACGCGGCCGAGTCCCTGAACAGCAAAATATGGCTGCTGTGTCCAAAGACCCGGTTTGCTTCCCGGACTGCTGTGGAAACAGCCACAGCCATTGCAGTCCTGTGGTTCAACCGGGGCCACGCGAGCTTTGAAAAGGTGCTGGAAGAGCTTGGGGTGCTTCCTTCGGAGGCCCTGGTTACCCTCAGCGACCGCCGAGACAGCATGCGCATGCACAAGATGAATGTGCGTCAGACCGCTGAGGCGAGGGCACACCGTCGCAGTGCAGCCAAGAGGGCCCGGGTGGAAGAGTCCTGCCGCACCAGCCGGGAAGGGAAAACCTACGGTGCTGGAGAGTTTTAGACAACTGATATTCCCTCTGGACATGTGTGTATGTGTTCAGCACAAGTTTCGTGCTACTGCGTTTTTCATTTTTGTAAATACAGACTTTCAAACTTTCAAACGCGTTTTTCTCATTTCGCAATTTTGGCCAATTTGCATTTTTTGCGGGAAGTGTTTTGGGCACTTAGAATGGTCATACGACGACGAAATTTGGCACACACATTGAGGAGAGTGCGTAGGGTGCCGATATCTACTTGAATCAGCACAACCTATCAGCTGTAAATATCTATTAATAAATTTAATGGTGGTCGAGTGGAAAAAAAAGGGTAGTTTGCTACACAGATGTTTTTTTCATAGTTTCAAAGTTGGAGCACAATTTCTAGCTAGATATCGGCACTCTATGGCTAATAGGGAGCAAAAGGAGCCATTGAACAACTCTCTGCATGAACATTTAGTATGCGCGAAAGTTCCCGGAAAACTTATCAAGTTTCACCATTACTTGAAACACAACTCCCAAACTATTGCACTTATGTAAAAACTGATTACAGATTTGGAATCAGGAGGAAAAACTGCATCAGTGGTCCAATTTCTGAAGCTCTAAGTTGAATAACAAAAAAAAGTGCTTTCGAGGAGCGTCTCCCCTTAATCAAAGTGGCTGTTCATCCACATTGTCAAAAAAATCAGCTAGCCGCGAGTGATGAATGATAAGAATGGCATAGAATAATGCAAAAGTCACCGCTCCATGATACCCTGCATCCATCTTGGCGTTCTCAGATACTTTTGACGGCGAACAGCTGCTGGTGTTAACGTGTTAATGCAACTGTTTGGTTCGTTCACAAAAGCGGTTTTAGGCATTGTTTCAGCGAACTTTTCACTATGGTCTCGCAATTCATGGGTAAGAATCACGTCGTGATGCTGCTGGGAAAGAATAGGAAGCAGTGGACATTTCTTGAATTTTGAGAATAAACGTTCCTTTCTTTGGTAGCTCAGATGAGCTATATTTTTTTTCATTTTCACTACAACGAAATTCTCGCTTCCTCTAAATTTTTTTCACGTCCCGTCAGTTTCGTTGTAGCGGGGTTCGACTGTATATTTTACACCGTCGTTTAGTAGTAGTAGTAATAGACTTTTATTCAGCCACAATTTACAGGCCGAGCATTTCGACCGCCTGTGCGACCAGTCGACGCTGTTCTTCCCCTTCGGCGCCGATCCAGTCGAGCCAAGAGGTGATGGAAAGGGATGGGGGAGGGTAGTAGCTGGATTTCTGAGCTGTTGGGCAGTAAAACAGGCAGTGTGACAGGTCAGCGTATGGGGAGGGGCAATTAGGACAGCAGGGGCTAGACCTATATTTATAAAGGAAAAGGCGAGAGGGAGTTATCAGGCAGTTCATTTGGATGTGCCGTAGAGTTCGAGCCTCGAGAGCAATGAGTGATGGATGAGGGGAGGGTAAAGACGCTTGTCGAGTCGGAGCTAGAGATATACCTCCTTGATGGTGTGACGCAAGGAGATCTGCCCATCGTTATTCGCGGAGCTCTCACTGTCTTCCGAAGGTGTTGGCCAGGGAATGAACGGTGCCGGTGCAATATATCGCGGGCAAGCTGATGAGCTAGCTCATTGTTGTTAATATCCCGAATGCCCAGGATCCCAGCGGAGGAAGACAGTGGAGGGTTGAAGAGCAGAGGCCGCTCGCTCGATTTCCTGTTGAAGAGCAGGGGGCAACGTGTTGTTCTGTATGTGACGGATGGCGGCGTGAAAGTCGGAGTAAATCGTGTACTCGAGGAGAGAAGGGAGGGAGGAAAATTACTGCATAGCGTGGACCATGGAAAGGACCTCGAGCGAAAGTACATTTGGCGGGTGTAAGTATGGCCCGCTGGTGTGCGTGTCAGGTGCCGAAAAGTGTGGATGGTAGATAACGTAGCAACACGAGCCCCGAGGAGCCATGTATGAGGCATCCATGTAGGCAACTCCCTCTGTAGAGAGAGGAGGAGAATGATACTGTGCTGCCGCATGACGCCGGTGGCGTGAAGAACGGGAGACATATTGGATGAGAGGGGAAGGATGCGATGGTTAGAAGCAGCGGTGCTAGCGGCAGAAGGCAAGGTGGGAACGGAAACGGGAATGTGAGGGATACCAGCTTGGGCTAATAGCCATTGGCCTTGACGAGTGAGAGAAAGACGGGCAATCTAAGAGTAGTGGTGCAGAGAAATAAGAGAACGTAATTGATGGAAGAAGCCTGTGGCAAAGAGCTTAGTGGTAAAAGTAGTGACAGGGAGGCTTAGAGCTGCCTTGTAGAGGCCTAATAGAGCTCTTTCCAGTGTGTTAGTTGCGCTTGGGTGGAATGAACGTAGGGTACAAAGTACAAGAACTAGTTAAGGGCAAGCGCATGCGCAACTCGGCACGCATGAGCCTCATGGAGCCCCGACTGCCGAGTGACAACGCGGCGCAGGAGGTGGGTCACCGAGTGGCA